GTGGTAAAGCTACTGATGGCAGTTCATCCTGATGTTCCGTGAGTGCTCGTCCTCACGTAGAGGGGAGTAGGTCATGTGTGGGAACGGCAGGAGGTCCTAGTCCTTAGGAGTACTTTGGACTTATAGGGCTAACCTCGGGTGACAGCTGTTGAGTGTTTCCCAGTTATCACATCACCCGGGTGCACGAACGCCTGTAGATACATGGATTCATACAGTCCGGACAGTTTGTCTTATGAGAGTTTTGGATGGTTATTTCTATGATTGATATATTATTGGATTGTTGGTATGTTTAAATTGGATGTTGATGCATTGAAATAAATTATATAAGCTTACCATGTGTTCTTTCCTTGTGTTGTCTTGTACCTGTACGTCCGTCCTGTCAATGCAATGATCATCCGTGTGGATGTGAGCAGAAGGAGACACACTGCTGGAAGAGGTGTTGGAAGACCAAATTTTAGAGGAAGAAAACTTAGTAGAAGTCGAGGTGAAGACTGAGTTATAGGACGTTCGGCTTGTAGTTGTTTATTTTGGTTAGGTCCCCGTTCGTCCGCCTTTTGTCTTTAAATTTCTAAATGATTGTTCGGTGTCGATTTTGTAAACCGATCGGTCTTAAAATTGTCTCTCTTATGGTTTTTGTAGTTGGGAAGCTATGTAAGGCCGTTCGGCCAAAAACCATACTCTTGTTTAATTAAGACTGATTTGGTTTATCATTAAATGTGATTAATTCTACTATATGGTGTTACTGTATTTTTGGGATGTTACATTAGTGGTATCAGAGCAGTTTTGTTCTTTTAAGGACACTGTAGGTTATGAGTACACTGTATTTTTGCTGTGTGCTTATTGGGTGTTTAATGAGTTATTTTTTTTAACTCCTTTAACATGACTAACGTTCGTTTTTCTCTGTGTCTCAGAGAACAAATGGCGCCTAGACTCCCTCCTCCACCCCAGCCCAATGAACCTGATGCTCCCAACAACGCTAGGTTGTTGGAAACCGTAATTGATAGGTTGCAACAACAGAATGCCACCCTGATGGAACAGAATGCGGCTGCATTACAGAGTTTGGAGGCCGCACGCGCCAACTCTGAAGCGACTCGGAGGCAGCTGATGGAAATTATTGCTGCCACCAGAGGCACACCAGGGGCGTCCTCTTCTAATGCAAATCACTAGGCGGAGTGGAGCTTGGAAAGCTTCCTACAACACCACCCTGCCAAATTCAACGGAAAAGGTCTTCTGGATGAAGCGGATCAGTGGCTAAGGGATATGGAATGAATCTACAACGCCAAAAGATGTTCGGATGACAACCGCTTGGCGTTCACAGAATATTTGTTAACTGGAGAAGCTAGCCATTGGTGGTCAAGTATGAAGATGTTACTGGCTGAAGCTCAGAGTCCCATTTCTTGGGAAGTTGTCAGGGGTAAGTTTTATGAAGAGTATTTCCCTGACAGTGAGCGGTTTGCTAAGGAGGTGGAGTTCCTTCAGTTGGTGCAAGGTGGGATGTCCGTCTCGGAGTACACCAACAAGTTTAAACATCTGGTCCGTTTTAATACCATGGCGACAAGTGAAGAATGGCAATGCAGGAAGTTTGAGAACGGACTGAGGAGTGACTTGAAAGTATTAATATCCAGTCTGTGCATTGGATCGTTCCCTGCTATGGTCGAGAGAGCCAAAGTGTTGGAGAAGAACGTTGCTGAGGCAGAGCAACAGAAGAAACAACAAATGAGTAGGGGGCCGGTTTTATCAAGAAATAATTCGAACGTGAGAAGATCCCCATACGTTCGTCCAACCCAAGCCCCTAGTGGATCACAAGCATTGGTTATTGTCGGCCAATCTGGGCAGCAGAGGAATGTGACTTGCTTTCAGTGTGGAGGACCTCACTATCGGTGGGCATGTCCTCAATTATCAGGGGGAAAATATTGCAATCGTTGCAGACAGAATGGACATTTGGAAAATGAATGTAATATGGGGGGATGTGCGACAATGAGGCCACCGAACGCTGGAAGAGCACAACAAGGAAGAGGTGGACGAGCGCAGGCAGTGGGGAGAGTGTATGCAATCACGGGTGCTGAAGCTGCTCGCTCAGGTACTCTCATCACCAGCACTTGCATATTGTTTGGAAAGCCTTGCTGTGTATTGTATGACTCGGGGGCAACTCATTCCTTCATCTCAAAGGCGTGCGTTGAGAAACTGGGGTTAGTGGAGAGTGAATTACAGTTCGATTTGGTGGTGTCAACCCCAGCGGCTGGTGGGATTAGGACATCTACAATTTGTGTCAGATGTCCCATAGAAGTTGAGGGGCGTAGATTTAAGGTTAACCTCATTTGTTTACCCCTTCAAGACCTAGAGGTAATTTTGGGGATGGATTGGTTGGCTACCAATCGCATTCTAATAGATTGTGGTAAGAAGGAGTTAGTCTTTCCTGATGAAGAAGAAGAGGAATTATCAGTGACACTCGGTCAATTGAAGGAAGACATCATGGAGGGAGCAAGCTGTTCTTTGATAATGACGCATGAAGACAAAGAGGTGG